TGCCCTGACTTAGATCAGCCCAGAGGTTGTTTCAGGGTTCAATCTGTGAGTTAGCCATGCCCTGATTTAATTAGATCAACCCAGTCAAATTGTTTCAGGGCACTGATAAAGTCGAATTAGAAAGTCATGGGCAAATGAGTACAACGACAATGATATTATTTCACTTACGTTATAAACTTAGTATAGAGAACAAATGCACTTTCATAATTCCTTTCGTCAAGATATACATTTGCCTGTAATACAAAAGAGAGGTATATTAATACTGAATTTAAAACATCTGTGCACAATGTCATAAACAGTGATCAAAATGTGATACAATATGATACAATGGAAGTTGACACAAAAAAGTCACTAGAGGCAGAATGAAATAAAAATTGTAAAGTGGAAAAGCAAAATGTAATAGGAGATTTTGAAACTATCCTATAGAAAAGTGGGTGACACTGAGCTTTCCCCATTTCTGTCATGTCACCTGTAAAAGTGCAAATTGTGAGCAGTTATCTTATAATGCTGGTTCCAAGCCATGAAATATGTATTCTTTGATACATGTACATATATAAGGAATGTTTATATCATGACTATATGATATAACAAATAACAATCTAGGGTCAGTAAACAATGTTATAGTTAGAATATTTAATTGACAGTCATTGCATATTCTATAAACAACCAACTTGCATTTTCGTCTTTGTTTTTAAGCTTCAATAAGTCGTACGTTAATGAAACTATTTTTAGTTCATGACATCAATGTTTGGCAAGTGCTTATACAACGACATAGAAAAATCAAAATATGGATGGAAAAGCTACAACGAAAGCTAAATATACTAAAACTATTTGCCTTTGGCAATAAAATTACATTCTAGATTATTTTAGGAAATAATTTCGGCGTGTAAGTTCTATTTAAAAATAAAAAAATATTTGTCAAACGACGATGAGTCACACAACATCACATAAATTTTCAGAATGTTAACCTTTTGGAAATAAAAACTCACCATTCTTTCCATCTCAAGGCCAGATCTAAAGTACCTCTTTGGAGGAATATCATTATCTACTTCTATAAGACTAGCGTAGTGCGATAATAGCCTAATTCTTTCTGCTGGAGTCTTACATTCTTCGTTGTCCGCCATTTTGAAAGGTTTAACTAAAACCTTACTGTTGGGAGTGGGGTTAGTCATAATTGTTGCTCAGTAGGGGAGGGTGGGGTGAACTATACTATATATTCTGGAAGTTCTTAGAATTCTTTCGCTTTTCTTTTACCGAATGTACCTTAGTTACCCTTGAAGAAACGACATAACTTAGCATAGTTTACTGTCACAACTATATGATCTATATTATTAATTTACTAACTAAGCATTGCTCAAAATTGCAATCCTAGCGAGCAAGCCTGGAGAGAGCTAGCAGGTCAGAATGGTCCTCTGATGTTTCCTGCAATAAGAAATTGGCTTTTATCTTTGTTAATATGCTTTTATCTACCAATAATGTTGCGTGGTGAAAGTGTCCTGAGCAAAATATTCCCTTGGGGGAGATACCACTGTCAGTAGTGTCAGAGACGAACTATACTACCGTCAGCTGACTGCTTTCTTTCTTTCTTTCTTTCCCTTTTATAATCATGCGACTAGCCGTCTTGCCATAAACGAAAATGTTTTGAGATAACTCAATAAATAAAAGATCATGGCGCGCTATGAGAAACCGCTTATTCTTTCAACCACAGCGCGCGTTGAAACTGAAGGATTTTTTTTTCAGTCGTCACAAAAAAAAAACAAAAAACAAAAAACAAAACGCACCAACACTGTAGTTCACTGATACAACATTGAAGTTCGGCTTCCAACAATTGCTTTCAGTCCCGGAAGGAAGCATAATGCTGCTCCTCTCTCGATTGCTTAACACTGCATCTATCGATCCCTCAGTGTATTTATCTCCTATATTTTTTTCAAACTGAAGAAAGCCATTAACAATAGACCAAGAAATAAATATGGTGAAAATACTCTACTACTATCTACTACTCCTATGGGAAAATCGTAGGTGCTAAGCCGGGTTTCCTGTGGATTGTATTACGTCATACTAACTGACACTCATAACGTTTTGATGGTGATGGTACACAGCATCACTCAAGATTTTGATTCCCCGCTGTTTTGTGACAAATTGATGTAAGCTGAAACTTCCACTGGAATCTCAGTTCTTTTTAACTGAGGGCATTATAGGTAGTAATACCTTATTTTGCTAACTGTCAACATCGCCATTGTTTTATGAAGCTTTGGATTTCAACAATGCGAGTTTAGCCTACATCAAAGTTCAGGTAAGCCTTTTTAAAACTTTGTTTCGGAAACTATTAAAGCTATTTCTTTCAACGACCAATCACATAGGAACCAAAGATTAAATGAGATTTACGTTGCGTCATAGACATCATGCAGAGAAATCCTGAGTTGTATATAATAGATCCTAATGGATTTCAAACAAAGATGTTACGGGATAATGTTTAGAAAGTTGCAGGCAAAACTTGAATGTTGAGGCATGTTGATTGTTCCTGGTCAAAGTTGATTTTTGGCGGGATTGTAACGCCATAGGAACCGAAATATGTGGTAGAACCACGATCCACCAATCGTCACCAGATGACGCTTGATCTCTGAACTTTGTCATGAAGTCACACCCACATGTACATGCTCATTTGTGCTTGCGCTCGAAGGAAATCAGGAGTCTCTGCCAAACAGCTCTAATATAAAAGCTCTACCATGCCGTGGAAACAAGTGCTTATGTTTCTGCTTGGGCTACAAAGTAAGTCAATAGAAATATATCCTTTTCACTGATGCTGAATTTATCTATTAAAATTGCTATGAATCGTATTACTAGTTGAACGTTTGGTAAAGGCTTATATACAGTACGTCAGTTAAATAAGCAACCAAACATTCTTCAGCATTAGTAAAGCCGGAATGCCAAAAATCTCCAAGTTTGTAGTGAGATGAATAAATGAATACTTGTGTTTGGTGAGAAAGATGTCAAAAGGTAAAGATGAAAACGTGCTTTTTGCGGAAAGGATCAATGTGATTGTCCTATTATTAACCCGATAAAGCTACAAATATCTAGTATATATTTGATTTTTTTCATCCTTAATTGAATATTTTATCTATACATCTAGTATACGAGCAACAGTGAAAGATACTGCAATGAAAAATGTCCCTGATAGATCATTGCAGTCAGAGTCTAATCTTTTCATAGAGTTCGAGAAAAAACATTTTTGGTTAATAATTATTTCCGCCATTCTTCGACTTGCAGCCGTTCTTAGTGTCGGTCCGAAAATCTCCCGACAAGCGTTCGGACCGACACTATTAAAGAACGGCTGCAAATGAGACTATTCTTCGACGAGATTACGTTGATTCGTTTGTGCAGCCAAACAGTTCTGGTGCACAGAAGCTAAATCTCTCTTTGTAAAATTAATTTGTAAAATTATTATTAAAATTAATTAAATTACAATTTCCTTAAATCAATGCACAAAGTAAACGAGAGAGACTTTGGCAAGGTCAACTTCCGCTTCAGTCAACATCGTTTCAGCTAAATGATATTTTAACTCTTTCTGTATTTTATTTAATACTTTAGTGAATTTGTTAATGAGAAAGTTTTTCGTCAGAGGACGGAATCGTCGACGAAAAAATAAATACGTATTTTGTATGAAACCGTTAAAGACACTGTCACAACGAAACGTTTCTCAACAGATCCTATGAATAAAACATGCGTTACTCGATGTTATCACTGATGCTGTCAAAACCGCGCCATATTGTTGCAGTTAACCGCATACATTTTGTATTCCACGCTGTTTTTTGACAACTGCTTTCACTTTTCTCCCACATTTCTATGCATTGATTTTTGTAAGTTAGGCAAGCGATCCAACTTATGATGATTGGAACGGTGATTGTACAGGGGCTGCAGTAATCAGTCACCTCTCGCTTTCCCTACTGGAAGACACTTTCCCTACTGGAAGACACTTTCCCT